AACATTTGCACCCACTCCACCTCACATCACAACATGTTGACCACGCACTATCACCAACTCACAATCATGTTGGACACAACTCAGCATTCACGCAACATGTTGCACGCACTCGACAAACACCTTTACAACATCGCAACGCGTTGCACAACACCCAACAACCCCATCATCCTCATATTTCGATGGGTTTCAGCTGCGGCTTTCGCACGTGTCTCATGTTGGCTCCGGCCGGGGCGGGCTTGAACGGCGCGATAGCCCCGTACGGCCGCGGCACGGGAAGCTGAGCATCCGTGATCGGCGGTACGCCGTTCGGACGCGGTCGGCTCGCGCGTTCACAGACGCCGAGGGCCGCCGCACTTAGAGGCCTCCTCAGGACGTCGGCCTGTAAGGAGGAGGAGGGGGAGGGTGAGGGGGAGGGGAAGTTACGGGTGGAGGCGCGAGCGAGGGGACCCAAAGAGGAGCGGTGCACACTGGGTGGCGATACAGCTGTTGTTTATGTCAGTGCTCATGGTCTCTCTCTCTCTTTCTCTCCTTCTTCGCTCTCTCTCGCTCTTCTCTTCTCGCTTCTCTCTTCTCTCTCCTCTCGCTCTCTCTCTCTCTCTGCTTTCTCTCTTCTCTCACTCTCCGCTCCCCCTCCCACACACTGGCACCTTCATCTGTCTGTCCGCGCAGCGCGCCATCGCCGTCGTCTCTCCCTCTCACCCACAAAACCCCCTCCCCTCCCCCATAGTACAAACAACCCTCCCCTCCCCTCCACCACCACTCACCTTCATCTTGTCTGTCCGCGGCTGCGTTCGCCTACGTCCTCTACCCCTCTCCCCACAACCCTCCCCCTCCCCATTAGTAAACAACCCTCCCCCTCCCCCACGGTCCCACCCCACACTCACCTTCATCTGTCTGTCCGCGGCGCGTCTCGCCTCGTCTCTCACCAATCTGTGCCACTCTGCTAGAATATCCTCACTAGGTGGCTCTCCGTTCTCCAGTCGCATGTACGCCTGCGCGGAGAAAGAGAAATCTCCCAGCCCACAGCAATATCATCAAGAGCGCATTATCATCATTAGCTAATTAATTAATAATATTAATAATATTAATAATAATATTAATTAATTATTTATTTTTTATTATTTTTATTTATTCAACCCTTATTTTAAACCCAATTTTACCCTTAGTACTTGTAAATGGAAGGGAAGATATTTCCTCGGGGGAGAAGTAGCATTACACATGTACATGTACGCCTGCGCGGAGAGAGAGAAAGTTTGCCCCACCCATTGTAAAACCTTGGTACTTATGCACAGAAGAGAAACCGTTGGTCGTAACTTTTCCCAAGTGGCATGTACGCCAAGAAAAAACTCCCCGCTCTAAGGAGAAACCTCAGAACTTATACAGCGGGGAAAAAGGACCGAGCTCGTAAATTGTCTTTCCGAGGGAGAAGAACATAAGAACGAACCGGACCGGACGGAGGTGCTGACAAATGGGGGCTGGGTCGGAGGTCACGGTCACGGTGGTGGGCGGTGGCGGGGCAGGCGTAGCGGTGGGCAGGGGGTGGGGATCCTCAGGGTGGTGATAAGAGAGGCTCCTCCCTCTTCCTCTTCCTCTCCAGCAGAAGGAGGGGGAGGAGACCGGCTTCCTACCTGCTGCACTGCTAGCTCCTTCTCCTTGACGGCCTGGTGAAGCTGCATGGACATCGCCTGGTACATGGACAGCTCCGATATGAGAGCCTTCGTACGATGGCCGGCCTCTCTCAACCTCGCCTGTACATCGCTCATCTGCGAGACAAGAGAGAGCGTCCTTTATAGACAGGTGTGGGTGCGCATGGGGAAACCTGTATGCAAGGGTCGCTCGCGCCGAAAGCAACCCTTATAGAGAGGTGTGAGTACGCGCAAGACAAGTGCTTCACTAGGATGAGGACTAGTTACTTAGTTCACTAGTGTGAGGAGACAAGAGAGAGACCGTCCTTTGTAGACAGGTGTGGGTGCGCATGGGGTAACCTGTATGTAAAGGCCGCTCGCGCCGAAAGCGACCCTTATAGAGAGGTGTGAGTACGCGCAAGACAAGTGCTTCACTAGGATGAGGACTAGTTACTTAGTTGACTAGTGTGGGGAGACAAGCGAGAGACCG